CAGAGCCCTGGTGCGAAGATTCTTAACTAGAAGGACAATTGGAGTTTACATTTGAAGATCAAATTACCATATTGTTAACTTTTAGGCAATAATCTGTCATACTTTTGTCTTGAGTAAAAATTATAGTGCTTCAGCAGTTATAAGCTGTCCTGTTTTCTCTGCTTTTAAACACAAGTTTTGTAACTTAAAATATCTGTTTATCCTTTTGATCAAAATCATCACATATCCCAAAAGAAAAAAAAAAAAGAAGTCCTGAGACAAACCTCAGATGACTCAAAGTTTCCTAAGTGTGCTGTGATCCTTCTCTCGGTCACCTTCCTCTTCGAAGTGTGTTCTCACCCCATCCAGAATTGACCTCCCACCTCCAGAAATCTTTTCCTGCTAAAGCTAGCCTTCGCTGTGCTCCTCTCTGAGCTCTTATAACAAGAATACGAGTAATTTAACATTGCCTTGAATTAGTAGCTTGGTTATTTTCTGGGTATTAGTATTTTCTCTGTAGCAATCTGCAAACTCCTTGAAATTTGGAGTTGGGTTTGTTACTCCTCATATCACCTTTGTAGTCCTGATTTTCTTCCCCAAGGACCAGTTTGCCTTTAACTGTGACTTTAAGCTGCTAACTAAAACTTTCTTTTCTTTGGTTCTCAGTTCAGCTATCACACAGCTCTCACTGATTTTTTTTTTTTTTAGTGTTTGGATTGGAATTCCTGTGTCCTGATAGGCTTTTAAGATAGGCTTTTTCAGTATGTTCAGAAAAGTATTTGATCCTGGAAACAAGGTTTCATCAGTCAAAGGTAGCTTGTTAAAAATCGTTATTTCTTCTGATGATAAAATTAATATATGTCCTTTGAAAAATATAGGCAAGACTAGGGAAGAAAATAAAGATGATACCTGATCTCATTGCCCAGAAATAACTAAGCACTGTTAACATTTTGGTTTCTTTCCTAACATTTTATCCCCCCCAAGCATGGTGACTTTTTTTCACTTAATATATCATGAACATCTTTTTCATGTCAATAAATAGATCTGTGTCATCACCTTTAATAGTCACATTGTATTCCACTGCATAAATGTACCCCACAGTGGACATTAGTAACAGTGTTTTGCTGTTACACACAATACTATGATGAACATCCTATAGATATTTTAGTGAATTTACCCCATGACTTCCTAAGGATGAATTTCTGGAAGTGTGATGGGTAGAGCAGAGGGTCGGCATGCGTAAATGTTTGTATGTGTCACCCCAGTACCCCCAGAATGTTAGTGATGTGCCTGTCCAGAGTCTCACAGCACTACTCATCGACCTTTTCCCCGTCCCCTGTTAGCCAAGTATCATCAGGCCTTCATGACTGCCAATCTGATAGCTGTTTTTATTTCTATTTATCTGAATACTGGTAGTTCTATTTTATCAGCCATTTCAATGAGATCATTTCAATAATCTCACATTGTCTTTGCTTATTTTTCTATTCAGTCTGTCTCATTTCTTTATGAGAACTTTGGATATGTAAAGGTTATTTACTCTTTGTCACGCACGTTGCAAGTACTTTTCCCAAGTTGTGTGTATTCGTACCGAGGAGGGAATTTTTTTTTTTAAAGCACATAGAAGTTTTAAACTTGTGTAGCTATTTTATAAAAACATTAAAATCCATTTAAAGATCTAGATCACTGATTTTTTTTTTCTTTTTACTTTTTGTGTACACTTTTAAATCACAGACATTGTTTGTCCTAAATTTGGGGTACAGGGTACAATATGGAAACCATATTAAAACTTGAACTAAAGTGATTTTTTCCCTTAGGTAGGCAGTATTCATACTTTTTACTGTGTAATATCTTTGTGTGTATGTTTTATTTCCTCCACTGCGTTATAGATTCTTTAAGGTCTGGGCCTGTATCTAATTCATCTTTGTGTGTCCCATTTCCAGCCATTTGTGAAACCTGCAAGAGTTACTTACCCATGATTTGTGTGGCAGGCACTGGTCACTGGGGAACCAGAAGAATAAGAGGCAGTCCCTGCCCTAGTGGGACTTGTCATGTAATGAGGAAGCCAACCACAAGTGTAATACTTTATCCCACTGCTGTGATAAGCAAATACTCTGGGGACGTGAGGATTAGGGAAACTCACCCAGGACTCATACTTGGTTTGTGTCAGGACCGATTCTTAGTAATGCAACTGACGACCCAAGGGAGAGGTTCATTCTGCAAATGCCAAGGAATGAGAGGCATTTCAGTGAGCTGTAGCTTGTGTTTCGTGTGGCTGGAGCCTAGGGTACTTAGGAGGGGTCTGTCAGGATGAGACAGAAGATGGGCCCCAGATCAGTACTTTGCAAAGAGCTTTCTGCGATGATGTCAGTGTTTTATGTCTGGACTGACTAATGCAGAAGCTGTATGTGGCAGTTGAGCACTTCAAAGGTGGCTAGTACAACTGAGGAACTCAATTTTTAATTTTATTTAATTTTAATAACTTTTAATAACCACACGTGGCAGGTGGCTACTTTTATTTAATTTTAATTGGCTAATTTTATTTAATTTTAATTACTTTAAATAACCACATGTGGCAAGTGGCTACTTAGTGGAGAGCACCGGACTAGATCATGAGGGATCTCTTTTATACCCTAAGGAGTGAGAGAGAAAAGTTGGGGGATGGGGAGGTATGATTCCCTGTTTGTTTTGGAAAGGTCACTCTAGTATAGAGGTTCTTAACCCTTTTGGGTCCCAGAACTCTAAAACTTGACTTCTTGCCAGGCCCTTTCCTGGGGTCTGCAAAGCTGCAACTAGCACTCAGCTGAGCAGACCAAAACCTGGGCCTGGGGGAGCTCCCATTCTGGAGGAAGAGACAAAAAAGAGAAACGTAACACACGCATTATGTTAGAGGACGAGGGTGAGTCGATTCTCACGCTTGCATCCCACCTCCCCTCCCAGGAGCTGTGTGACCTTAGACAAGTTCCTTAGCCTCTCTGCCTCATCCATAGAGTATTGTGATAATAGTGTCTGTCTTGTAAGTTGTGAGGAGGATGAAGTTAGTACTTGTGCAATGTGTGGAGCAAGGGCTGGCACGTAATGAGCACTGTATAAGCGTTTAATAAATGCTGAGGAGAAAAGATCAAGCAGGGAAGGGAGTTGGTGGGGAGGGGGTAGGCGTTACAGTTATTGATTGGGTGACCAGGAAAGTCTTCCTTGAGAAGGTGACATTTGGGTAAAGACCTGACGGGAATGAAAAAGTGAGTCATACAGATTACTCCCTAGCAGCTGGGGGGGCAACAAGTTGAGAGATCCTGAGACCAGAGAGTGCCTGGCATTTTTGAAAACCACTCGGCACATCAGTGTGACTGCAATGCACTGTTAAAGGAGGAGAGAGTAGACGATGAGGTTAGAGTCTTAACAGGTGTCAGATCCTCTACGACTTTGTAGGTTGCAGTCTTTGGTGGATTTTGAGTGCAGAAGTAATCTGATCAGGGTTCTGAGCAAGGGGTGGGAGTGTGGAGCTATCAATTTCCGAGAAAATATCTGTGCCGGAGGGTGTTGGAGGCAGCATTGTGGGGCCACTGGTTGAGACTGCCGATAGAAGACTAGTTAGTCTGCTCTTTTGATAGAGCAGGCAAGAGGTAAGAGCCTGATCTCAAGAGAAGGTGATAACGAAAGGGATTTTAGATAAGCTGAGGTTAAAGAAATTAAAGGAATCGGTAAGAAATTACATTTGGGGCCAGGCGCAGTGGCTCACGCCGGTAGTCCCAGCACTTTGGGAGGCTGAGGCGGTCGGATCACAGGGTCAGGAGTTCGAGACCAGCCTGGCCCACATGGCGAAACCCCATCTCTACTAAAAATACAAAAATTAGCTGGGAGTGGTGGCAGGCACCTGTAATCCCAGCTACTCAGGATTACAGGAGAATCGCTCGAACGCAGGAGGCGGAGGTTGCAGTGAGCTGAGATGGTGCCATTGCACTCCACCAGCCTGGGTGACAAGAACAAGACAACATCTCAAAAAAAAAAAAAGAAAGGAAAAAAAGAAATTACATTGGAAGATGAAGGAAGAGGGATCACACTTGAGTCTGGTTTCTGATTTGTGTAGCTCTGTGGGATCAAGATTGAGACTGCAGGGGCAGAGCAGATTAGGAGAAAAAGGGGTGAAGACTGCAGTTGTTAGGGGTGCATTTTTAGAATTTTCTCATGGTTCTGTGCAACATTCAGATAGAGACGGCTCATAGGCTGTTTAAGATGCGTAGAAGAGAAGCCTGAGGTGGAGAAAGAAAAATTTGAGTTATCTGATCATTGAAGCCTCAGTAATGATTGTATTAGAAGAGAATGAGGCTAGACAGAGAGCCTGGAAACATAAGAGTAGTCGGGGTTGGCAGAGAACAACACTTAAAGGATCCTGAGCAGCAGTTACTCCAGAGCTCAGAAGCAGACCAGACGAGACAGCTGTCTTGAGAGCTCAGGCAGCTTTGCAAGACCGAGGAAAGATAGAGACTGCTTGTCCTTTGGCTTCAGCAGATTGGAAGGAGGCCCTGGCTGAAGGCCTCTGTCTGCTCTGCAGTTTGAGGCCTGGAGGCTGGAGAAGGAGTGATAATGGTGGAGTCAGAGAACTAACTAGGGACATAGTGCCTTGCACAGTACTTTGTATATAAAAGGGAAGTCTAATAGACATTTATCAAGTGAATGGACATTTCAGGTTCACATTCAATTTATTCTGCCTGTCTCCTACCTCCACTCCAAATCTCCCTTGTACCATAAGGTATTTATGGCGTATTTGATATCCTGATATTTTGGGATCACTTTTGGTTAGAGAGCACTAACTAGTCCAGACGATTATCATCTCTTTTGATTTAGGTCTATATTGGACAGTATGAAATTAACTTAGAAGTGTGTTGCTCAGAATAAACCCTTCCTACAGCTTCAGTGCGAGGATCATGTATGTATAGATTGTATGTGGCTGGATTTAAGCACACACTTAAAGAACGTAGACGTTTTCTTTGATGATGCTATCTTTGTGATTTGTCTCACTTCCTGGAACAGGAGGGCTCTAACTCCGTGAGGACCCCAGCATTATTTCTATAATTGTTTGTGAGAAGGACTGAATCCCAGAGCATTGCCTTGTTGCTGACCTTTCAGTATGGGGAGGTGAGTGATGGGCCTAATCACCATGAAACATGAAATCTTGGTGACACAAAAACAGATCTCGAGAGGAAAAAAAAATCTAAATTGCAAGTGAAAAATGTGAAGTTGTGCTGTGCTTCTGTTTAATACCTTTTTTCTTCCAGGACCCAGTGAGGTATTTTAATGCGTGAAGCACTCTTCAAGGTGAATAATAAAGAAATTAAGTGTAACATAATAAAATTTATCCCAAAGGCAGTGCAGCTTTTTTAAAGCCAAATCATATTTCTGGAATGAGCCTCTCATTCTTGACATAAACTGAGGGGAAAAGTTCCTGATTATTTGCAGAAATGTCTTGTAGGAATATTTCTAAAAGCACAGGACATAGAAAACTCATTTATTGATTTTGTTATGGGGGTGTTGTTAAAATGCTGTTTTCTCCCATTCCTCGAGTCATCTGGGAGAGATTTGCCTTGGACTTCAGTGTTAAGCAAATGTGCTCCTCCTGAGCTATTTGTGTATTTCTGATGTAATGGGCAATGAGCTCAGTCGCATTTGCAGCAGGCCCACCTTACGACATGCCTTTCTCCATACTACGTTCCCGTTTAGTCTCATCATCCTCATACCCGATTTCATGATCAATTTATAGATTTATGTTACTGAACTTATTCTTGTAAGCTGTCTCTAATTCTGTCTTTATTTTGGAACAAAGCAGGGTAAAATAAAAAATCTACACGATACTGTCAAGAAAAGGGGAAAACACAGAAGTGTCATAACCATCAGGGCCAATTCTCATTTAGATGGTTTTATGATAATGGGTTGTGTAGCTGTTGTGTAGCACATGCAAGATGCCAGTATACAGATACCTACAGATAGGGAAATTCAGGTAGCTCAAGCCAAATATCTTATTTTAGGATCACTTTAGGTGAAGGAAGCTTCATTGGAGCAGATTCCTTTAAAATCTTTTTCTTTCTACTTTCAGGATTGGCATCTCCTGTCTTTTTCCTGCTTCTTGGCATTTTAGCATATCTCCAGTAGGGTGTCCTCGAATTCTGAATACCAATTTACGCCAGATTATTGTCATTAGTGTCCTGGCTGCTGCTGTTTCACTTTTATATTTTTCTGTTGTCATAATCCGAAATAAGTATGGGCGACTAACCAGAGACAAGAAATTTCAAAGGTAAGGGATAAAAACATTTGCCTTCTAGACCAGAAGCCATACCTTCTGTCTTACCTGTTTTAGGCTGCTGGAACGGAATTCCATAGACTGGATGGCTTATCAACAACAGCAATTTGTTTCTCACTGTTCTAGAGGTTGGGAAATCCACGATCAAGGTGCCATAGGTTTTGTGTGTGGTGAGGGCCTGATTCCTTGTTCTGAGATGAGGAGGTTTTCTTGCTGTGTCCTCACATGATGGAAAGGGGCGAGGAGGCTCCCTGAGGTTTCTGCCCTCATGAACTAATCACCCCCCTGAGACCCCACCTCCTAATAGCATCACATTGGTGATTAGGTCTCCAACATACGAATTTTGGGGGTCCACAAACATTCAGACCATAACAATCATTTCGTGACTTCACGACGTTTGACTTTAGGTTGGAATTTAAGGAACTGTAGGAACTAGATTCTGTACCATATACATCATGGCATGAACAGTTAAACCATTTGAAGCTAGTTAACTGCTAACTACCAAATCCATATCATAAGAGGCCCTGGAATAATTATTTATGCATAAGCGTCTCCTGTAACATATTTTAAGCTGATTTTTGAGTTGGCAGTTTAGAAGTAGAATTTTGCATTTTGGAATTTGTTTGAGCTTCTGTAAAGAAGTGTGTGTCTGATTTAGATGATCTTTATCATTATCACTTGTTTTCTTTCGACTCTTCAATTATTCGACAGTTGTATTAACGTTGTAATGAGGCTGCTACATAGCTTAGAAATTATGACTTGGTGTTCGTTGCATTTTTTCTGTTAGACATAAGATGATATTCTCTGTCTAAATCAAAGCGTACGTGTGTTTCTATCTAAGGTACCTGGCACGAGTTACCGACATTGAAGCTACAGACACCAATAACCCCAGTGTGAACTACGGGATTGTGGTGGACTGTGGCAGCAGTGGCTCTCGAGTATTTGTCTATTGCTGGCCAAGGCATAATGGCAATCCACGTGATCTGTTGGATATCAGGCAAATGAGGGATAAAAACCGAAAGCCAGTGGTCATGAAGATAAAACCGGGTATGTAAATGAGAATATCTGCCTGGTAACCAGGGTGCGTCCCGTCATTCTCCACGGCGTCTTTCATATCGTTCTCTTTCTGCACCTTCATAGCCCTGAGTCAAATCTCACACCGGGACCTGATGGGTCTCCTTGTTTCACTTTCTTTTCCCTTTTCTGTCCATTTTGCATAGGGTGGCTAACACCTTGATAAAACATCCAAACAGATGTGTCTTTTTGTCTCCTGTAGCATTTTAATAGTGCCTTACTCATAGTATCTACTTAGATGGTTGCTGGTTGGCATTAACTATGGAGAGTTTTTTTCCTATTTAGTAGTCATTGGTCTCTATCGTTAATGACAAAGTAATTTCAGATAACTCATGAAAATCTATAATATGTTGGCATATATTTTTCATTTTTAAAAATTGCTGGCCAAATATAGTTCTAGTCATCTAGATTGTTTGGTGAGTATGACCACAGAACTTAGAGCTAATAATAATTATGTATAGTTTTTAAAGATACTATAATTTCTAAGCCAGTGTGACATGTAAAAGTTTAGATTTGGCTTCCTTGTTAGATAATTTATGTCAATGGTGCTCTTTTTTCTGTGTCATCACCATTTCCATGGACAGCAGCTTCTGTCAGGAGCATTTAGAATGGGAGATACTGGGAGTGCCTTGAATCAAGCTTTTTATGTCTTGATAGTTGATCACTGATTTCAAACAGTGGACCACTGATCTTAATAGAGATGCAGCACTTTTATTTCATCTTTCTAATGTATTAAAGTAGTAAAATATCAAATGCAAACAATCCAGGAAATTTATCTTGTAAATTATTAGAGAATATCGATAAATGATAATTTTATAGTTTATTATCCCCATTTCAGAAATAAAATTTAAAAGGATGTTCAGTTTAATGTGAGAAAAATGCATATCCTTATAGAAGAGTCTCCAACCACGTAGAATGGTGACCCCTTGAGTCCTCATTCTTCGTGGAATAATTCAGACCCCACCTCCTCCTTCAGGCAGCCCTCAACAAGTTGATTATCCTTTGATGTGTGGGCAGCTAGGAACCAGCATATTACTCAGAAAATCTAAAGTCTGTACCTCACTTTTCAGGTTAAAGAGAGAACCTACTCTATGTCTATATACCAGCATTATTTTATCAGAGTATATTTCCGTGTAATTTTTTAGTGAGTATCTTTTAAGTTTAGTTGTATGTATTTCTACCCCTTAAATTTTTATGTATCCCTAATCTAGAAACATTTTTAGTTAAATTAATATTGATCAAATAAAAAATTTATGAGAAAACTATAAAAATAAAGCATTTTGCATTTCATCTAACTTCACATACCAGGTCCCATCAGTGACTAAACAGGTCTCATGGAATAAGATGAAAACTTCCATGCCTTGGAGTTGTTTAGAACAAAGGGTCAACTACATTATCATCCTAGAGTATATACAAAAATCTCATTAAAATCAGGCTTAACATGGGTCTGTCTTGCACTATACAAAGTGTATGAAATGGAAGTCAGAATACTTTTTTATTGCACTACTCTGTCCTCAAGCATGGATTTCCATGTATAGCATTGCAGCAAAGCTCTAGAAATTTCCTTCGTAGGGTCTGGCTAGTTGAGGACTTTGACTGCATTGAAATTGAATTGTATGTGGCGTCAAAAGACTTATAGTTTAGTTCATTTTTTGCTAATTCCTTTGATGAATCACTTAATCTTTGTGGGTTTCTAATTTTCTAATGTGTGAAATAAGGAATTTTTAGACTTCTAAAGTGCCCCTCATTTTTAATATTGTAGGCTAAATGACATCTAGAAATATTCATTGATGTATTCATTCATCAGATACATGCTGGGCACCTGTCATTTGCTAGGCACTGTGTTAGGTACTGGGAGTATAAGTTTGAATAGACGCATTTTGTGCCCTTAAGAAGCTTTCAGTTGTAATGAGACAGGCAAGTAAATAGGTAATTTTGATATGGTGTAATGAATGTACATCTAGCAAAAGGAAGTAAACATGGAATTTAACAAGAGTCGTCTTCAGGGTTCTGTTAGGGTGACTTCCATGGAGGCTGGAGCCCAGTGGGTATGCAGGAGTTAACCAGGTGAAAAGGGACAGGGAGGTGGATGGAGAAGACTCTTCTGGTGGTGGAGTTTGAGCAAGGCCCTAAGGCCACAGTAAGGTGCACTATGGAAATGTTAGTTCAGTGTAGCTGAAGGCGACAGAAGAAACATGGGAAGAGATAAGGGTGGGTGAGTTATGCAGAGCAGGATGTGCTGTTCTGGAGTTGAGCCTTATCTGGAGGGCACTGAACCACAAAAGAATTGGAAGCCTGAAGAGGCATCATTTGGGTCGGGAATGGTGGGGAGATGGTCAGGATCAGAGGGTGGGATGTGCTGTGGCAGGCTGGCAGAAGGTGTGTCCAAAGGGATGAGGAGTAAAGTCATGTGAGAGGCACCAAGGAGAGGGCATCTATGAAACCCAGGTTGTGTGTTGGGATGAGGGAGAGGGACTTCATTTAAGACCCTGGCTTGGGCCACTGGGTGCCCAGCACTGATAACCTCGGAGGGAGGTAACCGGCGGTGAGACCAGGTTTGTAGCGAAAGTTGAATTCAGATTTTGCCATGATGTGTTGGGGGTGGCTGCAAGGACACGCACGGGCAGTGTCTGGTGGACAGTTACCCCACGCTCACCTGGAGGCTAATGAGCGCTGCATGGCCAGTGGCACAGTTAGGAGTTCGTGGCATGCAGATGGTGATAGCGGCCTCAGGAGGTACTGAGCTCACCTGGCGAGATGGGGAGCACGTTTCTTGAGGGCGGGCAAGAGCCCATCCGCATGGCAGTGACACACAGCAGATGCTCAGTCAGGTCTGTGTGCTTTGATGAAGAAGGAAAGGACATAGCACTGAATAGTGCCACCAACGTTTAAGTAAGGTCTGCAGAAGAAGTTGCTAGAGGGATAGGAAAAACTAAGAAAGTATAATGTGTGGCATGATTTCCCTAAAACTAGCACTTTGAAGAAGCATCACATGTTATAGCTAAAATATCTGCTTCTTAACTAAAGTATCCTGTTTCTCTAGGCATTTCAGAATTTGCTACCTCTCCAGAGAAAGTCAGTGATTACATTTCTCCACTTTTGAACTTTGCTGCAGAGCATGTGCCACGGGCAAAACACAAAGAGACACCTCTCTACATTCTCTGCACGGCTGGAATGAGAATCCTCCCTGAAAGGTGATCCTCCACAGAAGGGCAAGGGCGAGGGTGGGCTCCTGGAGGGGAGAAGGGGTGTTCTTCTCCCCCCTCCTCCTCCTCTCCATCATCATCGTCATCGTCAAAAGGAAAACATTCAAAATTCTTTCTTCAAATCTGGAGTAGTATCAGAACTCTTCCTTTAGCCAGAATCTAGCAAATAGTCTTTAATTGACTTAGGACTATAGTCAACTGTAAAGTTGTCATTTTTAAAAATCTCATCTATTTTATGTAGTTAAGGAATGCTTGCAGTTGCAGTTTTACATCTAGATATCACATAATTCACACAACTTGTTCATTTTGGAAATTCATTCCTAATATCTTTCCAACAAATTTCTTTGTTTTTAAAATTAACTGTTTCATACAAGATATACCAGAGCCCTGGTTTGTTTTTTGTTTTTGTTTTTTTGTTTTGTTTTGTTTTTTCTTTTCTAAACAGAAGATATCAAGCTGTAATCTTTTGATTTGTAAATGTTTTTGTTGCCTGACAGCCAGCAGAAAGCTATTCTGGAAGACCTTCTGACCGATATTCCCGTGCACTTTGACTTTCTGTTTTCTGACTCTCATGCAGAAGTAATTTCTGGGAAACAAGAAGGTTGGTATATTGGTCTTCAGTTTAAAATTCCTTTAAATCCTCCCCATTTTCACCAGCGTACCCTTTGTTACACTCCTATTATCTTAACATTTGGGAAATAATAGACTTGAAATATTACAATTTTTAAATAACTAAACCAGTTTCTTACATGACTAGTCTTTGTTGCCCAGACATTAAGCCATTGAAAAATAACTATTTGTCTTCACCACATGTAGAGACATAGCTTGATGTAAACTCACTTTGATAGAAAAGGCTTGTGTGTCTTGCCTCAGTTGTGTGGCTTCCTGG